AATATATAAAAGGTTTCATTTCCCCTAAAAGAAAATGCTCAGTTCATTACAAACATAGCATCAAAATGACGAACACGAGAAATCATAAACTAAACGTAAAGAAAAATCTTATGAAAAACCCGAGTCGAAACCCTCGTCGAAGCTTCCTGCGAAGAACTGGCGAAAACCGAAGAAAAACCGAAGAAGAGGTCGAGAGAGAGTCGAGAGATGGTCGAGATTGAAAAATGAAAAAGAGACCTTCTATTTATAGTGAAAAATCAAAGAAAAATATCTAGTCTCGATTTCTGTGCCCAGATCGCGATCTGGGCTTCTTGGATCGCGATCTGGCAACCTCGAAAACTGCCCACCGCCTTCCCAGATCGCGATCCAGGAAGTGCGGATCGCGATCTGCCCCAAATTTTCGCTGCTACTGGAATTTGCCACCAGATCGCGATCCGGTGATTCTGGATCGCGATCTGGCCTCTGCATCAACTTCAAACACTTTTTGGACCCTTTTTCAGCCCGAATTCGACAATTGTGCATTTCACAAAAGTTGTAGCCCTTGAAGTTAGCTTTCTAAATCCACTTGAATCAGCTCAATCGGAGATCGCATGAGAAAGTTATGATTTAAATACCAAACACTGCCACAATCCGCGAGAATGCACTTTTGCACGTGTTTGGTTTGGTTCTCGGCTTCGCTTCCAAAATCGTCTCGAATCGGCAAAAATAGCTTATCTTTACCTAAAATATAAATAAAACAAAAACAACATAATATATACAAATAAAGCCGAAAACTCGGACGAACGAAGACCAAAACTCGAAGAATTGATAAGTGAAAATCATGCAAAATGAACACTTATCAAAGCTATTAACGATTTGGTGGGGAATAACCAAGAAAAGGACATATGTCTAACGAGGATGAGTACATTCCGCATGTAGAGCCTACCAATGCGGATAATTACTCCCAATACATGTCTTTCAGTCGTGTTGATGAGGCGACCTCTTCTAAACCAAAATCGAAATCGAAGAAACGCTCACGCAGTGATGCCTTTGACAGTGGCTACATAGAAATGGCTGCAAATTTCTTCGAGAAAATGGAAACTCAGATGGTTGAATTGGTGAGTCGCATGGGTTTCGAGAAAGATGTTTCCACAGCTAGAAAACAAGTTTTTGACGCCCTACAAAACATGGAGGAGCTTACATTTGAGCAAAGACTAAAAGTGACATCCAGAATCTGCGATAATAGCAAGGACCTCGACATTTTCTTCTGTTTGACTGATGAGCACAAGGAAAATATGCTGGAGCTGATCATAGAGGGTCGTTATTAGGTACTAAACAGTTTACATATTGCGAAGAATTAATAGGTTTGTTTTTGGATGATTAATGACTGATGTATTATAAGTTTTATAATACCGTTCCGAACCATTATCGAATAGATTTTGTACTTTTTTTGGGATGAAGGTTGAGTAACACCTTGTTGGTGCTACTGTTTTTTGGTGAACCTTCAAGATAAACTATTTATTTTGAACTCCTAGTACTAGAAATTGTATATCTTATTTTCAATGTTTATTGTTTTATTTCAATGAAAGAGAAAAAAAAAAAGGAATGTTAGCTGGTGTACTAAATGGAGCTGCATATTTTAAAATATGGAAACATTAACTACCAAAACATAATTAGAACAATCGAATACCTACTAACAATAGTGACAACATAACTGTCAGCATTGCCAATAATCAAAAACTACAAACCTTAAAACAAACCTTAAACCACTCGAATTATCTTACATGCACAATAATATATGTGCACAAAACAAAGTATTTTTTAGAACGACATGCACACAATCTTACAAACAAAACGCAAACCACCGAAACCAAGCAATTGTAATTCATTCGGGAGTATAAAACCCAACGAAGTGTGGCTTGTTAGAAGCCGTTGAGCTTTTCGGGGTACCAAAATGGTTGAAATTTTGTATGTTTTCCGCCCTTGGATGCACAACAGAGTTCCCTAACACCGATGGATTGTCCACGAATTGTGAGTTAGCCGTGCTTAGTTCCGTGTCTCTTGAACCATCAGAATCAGACACATAGTTAAGGTAGTTCATCATGTCAAAATCAACATCGTCCGATGTACCTGAAGAAATGTTAATTACTGAAATAGGGGGTTATGGGAGACATTTGCAAATTCTTGTTCACCCACAATTTCAAATGCTTGAGCATTAATGCCGACTTTTTCACCCTCTGCTCCGGGTTCTGCATCCACCTCATTCAATATGCCATTAGATTGTTGTGTGTTATCGTCGTCGGACGATACCACAATTATATGGTCGTCACCATTAGGATTGTTGACAGGTTCGGAGCCAAAGATACACTTTAGAGCCACGTATTTTGGTTCTCCGTAAGGGCGGTAGGCGTATATATATATATATATATATATATATATATATATATATATATATATATATATATATATATATATATATATATATATATATATATATATATATATATATATATTATTGTATTTATGTAGAGATAATTAAATACCTTTGAAATATAATCCCAAGTACCGTCTGGTGCAGAAACGATGTTCGTTGACGAATTATAAATAACACCGTCTTGTGCAAGAATCCAGTGGAACGTCTTAAAACGTTTGAGCAGCAAATCGAGCTTCTTAGTCAGATGTTTGTATGAAAAGAATGTGTTAAACTTGTTCTGCATGGCTTCTTGACAACTGAAAAGTGCAAGTGTATTATTCTCTTCACGTTTGATATTGCCAGGACATGATTCCATACATTATAGCTCGATGAAATAATCATCGATTCTTTCACTCCATTCAAGCTCGTACAAAAAATCTTCTTGTCGAAAATTGGTTTTTTCTTTGGTGCCATGCAAATATTTTTTATTTAATAATTTGTAAATGTATTTTTACATTTAGCTGTTACGCTCTGGTCATTTATAAGGCAATAAAACCCTAAAAAAATGCGTTACTTGAGGAGAGTTAGGATGTGAGCACATTTATCACCCATAAATATTATCTCATACAATTTAATGTTGGGATTGACAACACAAGTTTTAAATCACGTCACAAAGATATAACAGAGAATTTTCTTCATAATTACATTGTGTAATGGAGCAGTTGAAATTAAATGACATTGGTACAATTGCAAATGACAAAAACAGATATACATACAAGCGGGAGGGGTTGTAGTGAAATTATTATGAACATTAAATACGAATTGGTGGTTAAGTTTACGAAGCTGCTGAAGCATTATATGCAACATTAATTTACGTGTAAAAGAAGGCTAATGGAGTGCATTTGCAGCACCTCATGCGTCGGTTGGTTGGCTGAAACGACTATTGCACAGCATAAATCATTTCAATATTAATTTGACTATAAATGCAGGTTAGTGAGGTGGTTCAGCTGATATATTTTGAATCTCAATTATTCACTTGCCTAACCCTAAAAACTTTTCGTCTGACAAGAACTAAGGGTAGGTGTACCAATTTTAGTAGAATCAAATTTTTCGTGTTTTTTTTTTATGTAAATTCTACAGATTTTTAATGCAATTTCTTGTTTAAGGTTTGTAGGATAATGTCCAGGCCAAGAACCCGTAATCTGAAGATGATGGACAGGCTTAACACTCCCACCTGGTCCTTCGAATACGATGATTTTTTGATGGAATCAGCTGCCGAAGTTGCCCGATCCATGGAAACTCTGCGTAACAACGAGGCGTATGAAGATCTCCTCTACGAAGTGTATCTATTAATGAACTTCCATTTTGAAAAAAGCTTCGATGAAATTGCAATAAAGTGCAGAATGGATTGGTTCAAAACCGGTTTCTGTCGTTTAAGAGTTACATTGCGGCGGATGGTGTCATGTTCAATCGTCATACGAAAAAGATCACTTTGGACAGGAGTTTATGGCCATGGGATCGACGAGCAAGTCATTAATATATGTGCTTAAATGTAGTGTACTCGTTTGTTTGAAAGAAACTGTTACAAAATTTATTTAATTTGTCTTTCATATAATATACAGGAGACGGATGAAGAGGAGACGGATGAAGAAATGATGTTTAGGGTTAACGGCTTTCCGTTGTTCGAAGAGTGCAAGTTTGTTTTCGAATGCAAACAAGCACCGGCATGCAACTTTGATGGGATAATGGGATTCAACCGGAACAACCCACTGGTGATTGATGGAGACGAGGAAGATGATGAAAGCGATGTTTCGGTAGATGCCGAGCCCGTTGTATTCCCGGATCACGAAGTGCCGAACATTGAAATGACATTGGAAACATTGGAGCGCCAAACGAAGACGATGAACCAGCTGTGAGTATCAGCGATCATCATGATGATGATGGTAATTCTGAATCCCATGGATCGGTTGGTGCCGATTAATCCTGAATTTCGTTTACATTAGTTAATCTTATTTCGTTATTGTTGTGGGTTGATGTTCTTAGTAAGTTTGTCTTTTGTTCGGGACTAAGTTCCCAAATTTTCACATATGTACGGACTGAATTTCGTAGGGTAAGTTCCCAAATTTTCATTCGGATATTAAAGATGAAGTACTATTATATATTTGTTGTATCTCCAGTAGATTATAGCTTATTATTTTGCAAACATATATTCAGTAACTACTCTACTGTGTTAATGAAATGTATGTACCCAAACTAAGATAAATTACACGTAATTATTCATACAAAGTTGAATACACTCATGTTTGACCTTAAGTAAACACCTGTACCACTTCATTGAAATATAGAAGCAAAACCATAATTAATGAACTGAAATGTTTACCAAACAAACACTTGCAGCGCTCTAAAGAAATTGAAAAGCAAAACCATTGTTAGGTCGGTTTACAATTCATAGTTACAACGTGCCGATAACAGTTACAACAGTAGGACATAGCTAATATAACAAACCTCTTAGCTGAATAATGGAATGGAAAGAAAAAAATACGCTTGTCTTCAACATAAGAACCGCTGATTCACCATTTCGTTACAAAATACAGTTAAACGAACTTTACTACGAAAACAATGCATACAAAACTAATAGACTAACAACAACTGCAACAGCTGAACCAGTTGACATATGGTACGACTTTCTCACAACCTTATTCTCACTCTTCAGCTCCAGTTGGGATTCCAAATCTGTTATTTTGCTTACCAGAACTGGAATCTGCAATGGAATTTGTGATTCCAATGTATTTATTCTCTTGATCAAACCAGGGATTATCGCTTTTGATCTTTGACACATCTCAGGGTCATACCAGTAGAAAATCGAACAAGCAGTACCCTGATAATCATTTTAATTTAATGTCATTTTACCAAAGGATGCACACAATAATGTATAAATTAATATATAACTTCAACAGATAGTTTGAAAATGCTGGTTAGAATGAATAACCCAATACATGTTAATGGGTTTCATTACAAATTAGACGAACGGTTAAAAAAGTTCCTTCACACTTTTTTTTATGCAATTGTTGTTATGCATAAATATTCTATTGACAAACAATGATTTATCATATATTTTATACATAAACAGTTTGCTATATAAATAAACGCATGACATCATATATTAACAATAAATCAGTGGAAATGAGAATAAATCATTACCCCCCGTCGTGGACACGATAGAAACCGCCGTCCTGGATTCGCCGACGTCCATGATGTTTGCACAAGAAGCTTCCGGCCACAGTCACAAAAAGCAGGATGCTCACGGTTGGCGTTGTTCGAGAAAAATTTGTTGCTACTCTCGCTCCTTCTCTTACTACTACTGCCGGTATCATCCATCCTCCAAATCTACCGTTCCACAACATAAATCAATGATGTGGTTTCAAAGATTGTGAAATTAGGGTTGTCGACGGATATAATTAGGAATACACAATTAACCGCATATGTTAGTACATTTTACTAGACACGGCCATGGGCCCGTTCGGGCCGGTTCATACCGGTTCACGGTTCACTTTTCCGGAACAGGAACCGGCCCGTAATATGCACGGTTCGGCGGGCCGGGTCGGCCCGAAAAATTATATTTATATATATATTTAAAAAAATACTTAATAGATAAATAAATTAAAATAATTACTTTTAAATAGGAAAAAAACAAAAGTAAATAAATAAAAAGGACTTTAACTTAATTTTATAGGAAAAAAATGGGGTGTGAGGGTATTTATAAGAAAAAATAGGGGGAAATAATTCAAAAAATAGCAAATAACAGCTGGTTCACCGGGCCGGTTCATTGGGCCGGTTCACCGGCCGTTATTTGCTTCTTTTGTTTTTTTAAATCGGGTGAAGCGTCGGGCTGGCCCGGAGGTTCACGGTTCACCAATTCATAGACCCGGGCCCGTCCCGGGGATGACGGGTCGGTTCACGGGTTCCGGGCCGGTTCACCGGTCAACTGTTCGGACCGGTTCCGGGCCCAAAACCGGCCCATGGCCGAGTCTACATGTTACTATTGTTACTAGTAATGTGCAGTTATGTACATAGTCTGTAGAACACTTTAACTTGAAGCATATGTCACAAATAATCAAATTCGTCTACAACTTCAACCAATTTTTTTGAGACAGTCAAAGAGAGGATCAATGGCTTCCATTAAGCTGCAATTGAAAAATTAAAGCAAAAGAAAATATTTTACTGCAGATTAACAAAGATTGAAGAAACATCAAAACACTAAAAAATCGACAAACACTAAGAGAGAGAGAGAGAGAGAGAGATAGATAGAGAGAGAGAGAGAGAGAGAGAGAGAGAGAGAGAGAGAGAGAGAGAGAGAGAGAGAGAGAGAGAGAGAGAGAGAGAGAGAGAGAGAACCGCAAATTACTCCTCACCCCAAGTGCCTCCTACCAAAATCCTAGCCGCCGCTAACCACCCAAGGTTCCGCGCTCGTAATGAAAAAAATTATAGAAATAAATCTGACAATAAAAACTGAAAGAAATTGCCTCCAAAATATACATCTCGACGAGAAGAATCCAACAGTGGGTAGCCCGTCAAATTCCGACTGCCGGAACACAAATTACACCTCCGGCAAGATCCACCGTTGTCGAAATACGCGCCGACTGTAAACCGATTGCATAAACAGATCTAGACATTAGATCCAAACTATATGAGATCACTACCTAAAGAAATATTTCGACGACAGAAATCTAACGGTAGTTAAACCATCGAATTCCGACCACCGGTGAAAGAGTTATACCTTCGGGAATCAACATCGTCGGTTGGAGGTGG